ACACCAATCGAAATCTCGACAAAAATTATCGAACTTTTCGTATAACCCGATCCTCTTGAAGAAATTCCCTCGTGGACCAACACGTTTACCTTCTCCTCCTCCTCCTCCTCCTCCTCCTCCTCCTCCTCCTCCTCCTCTTCTTCATCCTCGTCGTCCTCCTCGTGGTTTTTTCTCTCATTCATGTGTGTATGTGTGAGTGAGTGAGAGAGAGAGAGAGAGAGAGAGAGAGATAGAGACATGAGGAGAAGATATTTATTCAACTGTTTTCCTTTGCCGTGATCTTTTCTCGCTCGTTCGCTCTTTCTTCTTCTTTATCTTCACAATAATATACAACGCACAAAACACAACTAATTTAGCCGGTACTCCTTTCAGAACAACGATGTCTCCAAGAAGAAGACGTAGTAGTAAAGTAAAGTAGACGGTAGTGGCGGCAGTGGCAGTGGCGGCACGACAACAGCACGTATTCTTCGATTCTCTGATAATTCTTGCCAGAAGAGATATAAACTGCTAGAGAAATCCTGACTTGAAGAAGATGACGATGATGACGACGACGATGATGATGATGATGATGATGATGATGATGATGATGATGAAGTTGAAGTTGATAATGATGATTACTATGGCGATGGGATGAAGATTATGATGAAGAAGAAGTGAGGATGCAAACGACGCTTCGCGTAGGACGTTCTCGAGCAAACTGCTGCTCGTGGCCAGGTGTTCCGCCTCTTTATTCCTTTTGGCTGCCGTGAGTACATGAAAGCCCCTGGCTATATAGGTACCCGCAGGCTTCTCGGTGGTGGGGAGCTTATTCTTATTTAACAGAGCAACGACGAAGCAGGAGAAGCAGGAGCTGCAGCAGCAACAGCAACAACAACACAACAGCAACAGCAGGATCAGCAGCAATACACACACACAAACACATATATACACAGAAAGAGAGAGAGAGAGAGAGAGACTTCAAATCCTCCCCCTTTCCACCATTTCGTCCCTTTTCTCGCCTTCTCTCTCTTTCTCTTTCTGTTGGATTTCTTCGTCTATCCATCCGGTGTCCCTTTCTCTCTTTCTCTCTCTCTTTCTCTTTCTCTTTCTGTCTTTTTTCTTCCTTTCGATCCCCCTCTTACTTCATCTACTTGCTTTCCTTTTGGTTTACCCCACTACCCCTCTCTTTTTCCTCTCCTTAGCCGATACTCCTTTGTCGTGTACCGATCCGCCATCGAGGAGCCCGCCAAAATTGTATCAGCTGTCCTGGATTTTCTACTACCCACCTTTCAAGACTCAACTATATACACCATTTTTGTTCGTTTGTTCGTTCGTTCGTTCATTCGTTCATTCGTTCGTTGGTTGGTTGGTTTGGTTTGGTTTGGTTTGGTTTGGTTGGTCTTTTACATCCTTCTTCACCGTGTAACTGACGATGAAGACGTTGCAAAAAAAGAAAAAGAACTAACCATCTCTCTCTTTCTTCTCTTTTCTTTTTCTCTTTCTCTCTTTCTCGATTTGATTTATTATAATTTAAAACTAACAATACTACGCTATTAAAAATTCTTCTTTCCTTTTTAAACTGTCCGCTTTTTTTTCTGTCTCTCTCTCTCTCTCTCTCTCTTTCCTTTTTCTTTTTTCCTTTTTCACTTCAACTGATTACTCGTACCATTGTCATTTAAAAAAAAAAAAAAAATCTTTTTTTTACTATCTCTTCTTTCCCAGATACATACACTAATGCGCCGTTGTAAATAAATCTTTATGATTAATTAGAAATTTTCTAAGTAATTTCAAGACTATATCAATGTGCAATAAATTTTATTGCTAAAAAATGTTGTTCATTGATAACGGTGTTCATTAGAAAAATCATAGTTATATGGAAAAATGATATGTAGAAATATATATTCTAGAAATATTATATATATATATATTTATTTATTTATTTATTTATTTATGTGTTATATATCATAAACTAGGTTCTCGTTTGCAGATAACAACACGGTTGCTTTCAAGGACTATTCATCCGGTCGTTTCTTTCCTTCACCTGGGACAGCTGGAACTTAGGACGACCACGTGCTTCTCTCTCGGCTTCAACGAGCAATCCCAGCATAGCAGGTTGCAACGGTTTATCGTAGGCATTAATCGTATTGTCGATTAAAGAGGAATCAACATAAATTCATTCATAATATTTTAATATACTCTTATAGACGGATACACATTTTATTACACCAATGATTTATTAACTATCTATTACAAGATAAATCCTAATCATTGAAAGAATTAATTAGAAATATATGATATTTTTCAGATTATTGCATCTTACAGTATCATGGACAAAGTAAAAACGTTGTTGTTGTTGTTGTTGTTGTTGTTGGTACGATAGTTCGTTATTATCCTTAATGACAACAAACAAAATCTATTTTCTTTTTTTTTTTTCTTTCTTCTTTTTTTATCATTATTATAAATTGAAAATGATATTTCCATGATCTACATTATTTCTATGCAACTTTCTTGTTAAATGATTTATTTTAAACGACGTTACTATTTAATCGCGATGATTGATTATTCTTCTCGTCGTGTCCCCTCTTATTAATTCACAAGCTCTTACAGTATATGATGCAATTGATAGCATATTCACACGTAATTATACATAATATGTATGTATATATGAATCGACGATTATAAGAAAGTGATATCTAAGGAAATATATGTTTTTATAATTTTGCGAACGTGAGTTTATCCGTTGTTTTAAAAAATTTTTCATTTTCCTTCCTTTTTGAAAGGAAAAGTACAGAGAAAAAGAGTATGCAGATATATTTGATCTTGAAAAAAGAAAAGATAAAAATTCTCTTTTACCGTAATCTTAAAAATATCAATCTCAATATAAAAAATATAATAAGTTACATATAACTTTTTTGTGTGTGACAAAATAATACGTATATCTTTTAATGTCTGAAAAGACATACATAAATCATTTTCGACGTAATCATCGGATCAAAATATTGACGAATAAATAATATTATTGAGAAGATTAACGATCAGTATAGAAATTTCTTCTTGGATCATGTCGGATCAATTTTATACGTCAAATCTTTATATTTATATTTTTCTCGATCGAGAAGGACAAAAATTATTAAAAATCATATAACAACAACAACACAACTACAACAACAAAAATAACATTAACAACGTGAGAATTATGTAATTTGTTACATCTCAAGGTCTTCTTGCTACACATAATACATATATATATATATATATATATCACACACCATACATATATATACATATATAGATATGTATAATACGCAGTGCGTATGTAATACGATTATGTGTGTGTGTGTTAAGAGTCGGAACAAAGAGAAATCCGATAGGAGAAAAAGAGCAAGGGCAGCGCTCACAGAGTAGTTTATCGGGGCAGCAAAATGTGTGTACTACTGCGTTTTCCTTTGTCACACGCGGAAGCGTGCCCGCGAGAGCGAGAGCGTGAACGCGCGCGCGTACCTCAGCGCTCGATCGGTGTACAGTAGAGTGAAGTGGGGTGGGGAAAGAAAATGAAGAAAAGGGATGATTGAGAACCACTTGTAGGAGGACAGCTGCACTCTGAGCGCATCTGCTGTCGGTTGCGCGGGCACGCGCTTATATATATATATATATATATATATATATATGTATACATATATATATATGTACGCATATATACTTGTGTATATATACTTACATGTATGTCGACATAGAGAAAGATAGATAGAGATAGAGATAGATAGATAGATAGATAAATAGAGAGATAGAGAGAGAAAGATAGAAGAGATCCAACTAATACATACAGACACATTTACAAGAATATGTATGTGCACCATGGGCACAGGCAAGAGAAGTCCTCTCTCTCTCTCTCTTTCTCTCTCTTTCTCTCGCTCATCGTTCCTTATTTCCACTATTCCTTCTTTCCTGTCTCTACTTTTCATTGTTCATCTCGTTCTTTCCCTTTTATCCCCTTTGATCTCTCCTTTTCCACCATTTGCTTCGCCTCCCCTTTCACTCTCTTTCTCTCTCTCTCTCTCTCTCTTTGCCTCTTCCCCTTCATCCCTTTCTCTTTTTCTTTCTCTTTCTCTTTCTCTCTTTACAACACCAGCCGTTTACCGAGGCTAACAGTTGCCCCTGAATTTCTTTTCCAAATTGTACTCGAGTCCTCTTCTTTTCCATTCTCGCGAGGGGTTGACCTTCTCCTTCTTGTTCCCTCTGTAATATCTCACCCTTAACGCAGAGAGAACTTTGGATTTGGAATTACGACGAGTGTCAGGGACGAGTAAACTTGTGTTAGCTCGCTCATTCGTTCGTTCGTTCGTTCGTTCGTTCGCATGCATGCATGCATGTATGAGTACATATCTCTTCGATAGAGGAAGAGTTTTGACTGTGGGATATTTGCGAGAGAGAAAGAGAGAGAAAGAGAGAGAGAACGCGCATGCAAGCGCTAGATGTTTTCTTCTCGCAGGATATTTTGAAGGTCTCTCTTTTTCACCTACTCTAGCATATACACCATCTAACTTTTCTACCTTCTTTAATTTCTTATATGTATATATGTAAGTATGTATGTATGTATGTATGTATGTATGTATGTATGTATGTATGTATGTATGTATGTATGTATGTATGTATGTATGTATGTATGTATGTATGTATGTATGTATGTATGTATGTATGTATGTATGTATGTATGTATGTATGTATGTATGTATGTATGTATGTATGTATGTATGTATGTATGTATGTATGTATGTATGTATGTATGTATATATGTATGTATGTATGTATGTAGATGCCAGCAGGACATTGCCGATCATGTTGTAGTAAAACGTTTGCAGCTTGCCCCAACCAACGGCCTATATGTAGGACCGTCACCCCAAGAAGGAACATTTTTCTTTGTTCGACATCGTCCGTCCGTAAGGATTTTCACCAACCATGAGAGACCATGAGAAAAAGAGAGAAAAGAGAGAGAGAGAGAGAGAGAGAGAGAGAGAGAGAGAGAGAGAGAGAGAGAGAGAGAGAGAGAGAGAGAGAGAGAGAGAGAAAGAGAGGTTCCAGAGAGCAAGAGGACCATTCGTTTTTCCAAGAAACGTTCAGATCTTACCTACCCCTTAGCTTTTTTCCATCTGTTCTGTTCTGTTCTGTTCTCTTCTTTTCTCTTCTTTTCTACCTCTCCTTTTCCGGACCGTGCACCGCCAAAATGCACTTTATCTCTTTTCTTTCTTTCTTTCTTTCTTTCTTTCTTTCTTTTTTTCTTTTTTCTTCCTTCTTCTTTTTTTTCTCTCCTTTTTCTTTTTTCCATTTCTTTTTTTCCTCTTTTTTTCTTTTCTTTTTCTTTCTCTCTCAATCTCATTCTCTTCGTCATATCCGCCACTAAGTTTCAAACGGTTTTTGGTCCCTCCTCTATACCTGCTTTTTCGTTGTGTTAAGGACTACTCGTCAACAAACCACTCTCCCATCCCCTTCCCTTCCAACTCCTCCCATCTCCTTCCCGCTCCTTAACGTGCTCCCACCGAAATTGTACCGGTCTCTTGGTTTAGCTCCTCAGCATTTACCTACGCAATATTATTTTCCTTTCATACGAATACCATTCTCTACGTGTACCATCCGAGATTTTCTATTACAAAGAAATAGAATCAATACCTTTTTTTCGAAATATTTTAAAGACGAACATTTTATTTTACTAACGATAAACGTTTTACTTACCCCCCCCCCCCCCTCCACCTACCCCCTCGCCCCTCACCTGGTAAAAGAACACCCTCCCCTACTACTCCCTCCAATCCCGCTCATAGTTGATTTTTATTCATGGGATATAACGCGCGTTATTTATATTCACTTTATCCTTCGTATCTTTTTACCTTGATTTTTTTTTCTTCTTTTTTTCTTCTTTTTTTCTCTTTTTTTTTTTTTTTTTTTTTTTATATTATTATTATTCGCATAATTTATTCGTTAATACATGACACCGTATATGCGTACGATGCGCATGCAAGCGAACAAGCTAAAAGTTATCTCTCGTTTAATTAATTACTTACATACGTACGTAGCTAAATGATCGATCGAAAAGTGAGAAAAAAAAGAAGAAAAAAAAAAAAGAAAAAAAAAAATTGTGCACATTAGGAGATTCAATTATTTTTCGTTTGATTAACTTTCGTGCAATCGAATTAAATTATTTCCTTTATCGTAAAGTCAAACAGAAGCAAGGCGATGTTATTTTCTTCACTTTTTAATTAAAACGAATCGAGAAATGCGTATACGATATAATACAATGCCATTTGAATCGACATTATGCATATACACACCTGCCTTCATTATACGTATATATATATATGTATATATATATGTACACAATACATAATGTATTATTTGATTTAATTTTTTTCAAAAAACTTATTAAAAAATCTTATAATGTGCATCGAAATTTTTATAGGTAGCCTTTTGTAACGTCAAGACAAATGCACCGTATGGGTTTTACAGATCGTAGAAGAAGCCCCAGATGGCAAGCGCCGTGTCCGATCTTCTGTTTAAAATTTGAACCACGCTGGTATCGCGCTCGTTTTCCTTAACACCACCTGCTCGGTACGTATAGATTGGAAACCATTTCCTATATAATACGATTTTAACTCTCTAACGATCCCATTTGTCTTCCTATATGTTTTGATATATATATTAAAAAATCAATCAATTACGTTTGTGAATTTTCCTTTTTATTTTCTTCTCTATTTTCTTCTCTATTTTCTTCTTTATTTTCTTTTCTATTTTTCATTATTTTTATTTATTTATTTTTCTTTCTTTTTTTTTCAGCACTCGACCGTCCTCGCAATTTATTTATTGATTCATGAAAATATTAAAGTAAACCTTATTATATAGGTACGATAATGATCGATGAACATAGCAACGTTAGAAACAAAAAGAATTCGAAAGAAAATGGTAAGGTTTATTTGAGAACAAACAAATAATTCTGTTCAATGGAATAATCGAATAAATAATGGATAATAGATACGTAGTGAATGATTTTGGAATAATTTCTATTGAACGTAATATTTATGGAAAGTAAAATGTCGCTCTATATTAGCAACGTTATAGTTTTAGGGACAAGTTTGAAAAGATCTTTGTTCGTCAAGGAAATGGGTCTGCTATGGAAGCGTATAAATGCTCAGTGTGCGAGCACTGTGTTCTGTACGGATAGCCGGAAGTTGAATGTACGTAATGTTTCTGGGCGCGCCTGCTAAAGCTATTTTTCGCTTCACTGGCAAATAAAAACAATATAATGATTGAGCATAACTTGATGCGCATACTTAAAAGATCTCATACTTTTTCTATGACTTCTAACTTAAATTATTATTTCTCAAATGTTTCATATTATATTGTTATTAGATATAAAATGCTTATACATATATATATATATATATATATATATATATATATATATAAATGTATATAACAATAGGATCATTAAAATGGAAGCTTAAATGATGTTTGTTGTATCTCGACAAACATGTATTTGACATTTCGAATTTTATTGCATCCTCGGTATAATCTGTATTACCGACCATAGATATGCTTGTTTTTAAATAGAATTTTACTTCTTCAATTTATCGACAATATATAAATGATATATTTAATTTTTACTATATCGAAGGTATTATCGATTTCTATTTTACCGAAAGGTATTTATGATATTTATTTTATCGACGGGACTATTTTATCGATAGATGGCACTCTGCGGACACTCGAGATCCTCCCTGTCGATAATTCCATCATTTTAAACAAGAATCATTGTTCCAACTATGATATGCTAATGCATTTCAATAATTAAGAATATATAACAATAATAATGAATATAGAATTTTTCATTGATCTAAGAAATTAATTTACAATTTTATGTAATCAATTTATTTGCAGAAATATGATTAATAAATGAAAATCTAAGTACTTTAACGTTTAGTTCGAATTAGGAAAAATATTGAAAATCCATTAAAATATGCAGCCATTTGCCCGATAGTACTTATGTTATATAATTTACATATAAATTACGATATATCAGAAGTACTATCGACCCAGGTCTCACCACGTGGAGGTTGCTGCATGTGGAGACCCACGGACTGACGGTGACTCTACTCTAAAATCCGCGTTCCGCGAACCGATCCGCTATACCTTTCCGCTTCAATGCACCGGCTTCTTAACTAACAGGGTATGCGTAGCTTAGCTACAACACACCTCTTACAGATAGCTCCACCGTTTGCACCGTCTGCTTCAGACAGAACGAATTATTAAGCACATTCGAATTTGTGCTTTCCGAATTCGAACAAACAAAGCGCACTCCTTAGAAATACTAATCGCGTCGCGACACTCACGTGTGTGTTATAATTACGTAGATTCTACTATTAAGCCGAAATTCGCGAAGTACCCCCATCGAAATTTTGAAGAAATCAAACGAAGTCCACGGTAGGACTTTTAATCACGCCCGAACACCCACGCGAATGTTAGAAAAACGATGACTCTACTCTACAATTCGCGTTTTCGATTCGAACAATCAAACGTAATATAATCGCGCCCGAGAACACCAACGCCTGTGCCCGCCGACACGCGCGCCAGTGTTCTTCCTATCCTTCCCGTATTCGCGTGTAAAAATCGATGATGAATCCAGCCAGGCGACGACGCATCCGTCCGCAGATGAACCTATCCCTCGATGACCTATCCTGGAAAAGAAGAACGTAAGCAGAAAATAAGAGAAAGAATAAAAAATACATAAAATAAAACATAATATATATATATATATATATATATATATATATATATATATATAATATAAAAAGAAAATGAACATAATTAAAAGCATAAACACATAATTAAATACATAATTAGAAAGAAGCAACATAAATAAATATTAAGAATACATAATTGAAAGGACATAACATATTAATAACATAATTGAAGACATAATTAGAAATGAAAAATATGAGATAGAAACGAGAGCCGGAGAAAGAAAAGAGAGCCCCAGAAGGATAAGAATAGAGAGCCCCAAAAAGATAAGACAAGAGAAACAGTTCTATATGATGCTGAGACAGCAGCCCGCACAGAAGCCCTCGCCCACAGGCCCCTCCTGTGGGTCCCACCCGAGATATATAAAGAATAATTAATGAGAGTAAATAAGAATAAATAGAAATGACAACGGATATAAAATTGTGATAGATAAATTTCCTTGTCGTTCTGTAAGAAATTATTGTACAATAAATTCTGTTATATTTCTTCTTTCGAAGAATTATTAGCTATATAAGATGGAAATATATTAATATTTAGTTGGAATTAGTTTGTAAAGATATTGGAAAAGTAATACAATATGCAGCCATTCGCTCGGTAATACTTGCATTTAAAAATTTACAATTAAACTTTGCAAGTATTAACGACCCAGGTCTCACTACGTGGAAGTTGCTGCATGTGGAGACCCACGAGCTAACGGTGACTCTACTTTACTCTAAAATCCGCGTACCGCGATACCGATCCCTCATGCCTTCCGCTTCGGATATCTTGGGCATGGGACAAAGCTAACAGGAAGTATCTAGCCTTAGCTACAGGGACTCCACTTACAGAAAGCTTAACCGTTCGACACCCTCCGCCTCAGGCATAACGGATTATTAAGCACATCTGAATTCGTGCATCCGAATTTCGAACAATTAAAGCGCATTAATCGCGTTCGCGACACTCACGTTTGTTATAGTTACGTAGATTCTACTGTTCTATCCAAATTCGCGAAGTAATCTAATCGATATGTCGAAGAAATAAAACGAAGTCCCCGGTAGGACTTTCAATCGCGCAAGCGAACTCTCACGTGAGTGTTAGAATAACGGTGACTCTAAGTTGAAATCCGAAGCGCACCCCGAATTTCAACACTAAAACGAAGTCCATGATAGGACTTTTAATCGCGCCCGTACACCCACGCAAGAGTTCGAAAATCGGTGACTCTACTCTAAATAAACTAATCGAATATTCGAACAAACAAAACGAAGACCCCGGTAGGACTTTTAATCGCGCACGCGAACACCCACGCGGGTGTTAGAATAACGATGACTCTAAGTTGAAATCCAAAGTGACATATGCTAACCGGTATTTAGACTTTCCATGATATTTGTCGGGATTTCCGCCCCGCTACCAAACATTAGGATTGTCATAACATCAGCCAGCTATGTACAGCACTACAAGGTAAACCGTTCGCGCACCCCGAATTTCAACACTAAACGAAGTCCATGGTAGGACTTTTAATCGCGCCCGGACACCCACGCAAGTGCTCGGAAAACGGTGACTCTACTCTAAAAAAACGCGTTCGCGAGGTAATCTAATCGAATATTCGAGCAAAAATTTAAACGAAGTCCCCGGTAGGACTTTTAAGTCGCGCCCGCGTATATTCACGTGAGTGTTAGGAAAACGGTGACTCTACTCTAAATTCGCGTTTTCGATTCGAACAATCAAACGTAATATAATCGCGCCCGAGAACACCCACGCTTGTGCACGCCGACACGCACGTCAGTGTTCTTCCTATCCTTCCCGTAACCGCGTAAAACTCGATGATGAATTCTGACATGCGATATACCATCCGGTAGCAGATGAACCTATCCCTTGATGATCTATTATGAAAAAGAAAAAAAGAAAATGAATAAAAGAAAGATAAGAAAATAGAAGTAGCTCCACGCTGCTAAAACAACAGTCCTCTTCATCTCATGGGTCCTACCTAATGCTTAAAAATTAAAATTAATTAGATTATATTAATAACAAACCTAAAAACATAAAAACATAATTAAAAAAAATAACATAAATAAATATTAAAAAGACATAATTAAAAAGAAATAACATAATAAATATCTGAAAAGACATAATAAAAAGAAATAACATATTAATAACATAATTAAAAATATAATTAAAGAAAAAAATATGAGTAATAAAAGAGAGCTGCTGAAAGATAAGAAAATAAAAGTAGCTTTGCATGCTGCTGAAACAACAATCCGCTTCATCTAATCGTTCCTACCTAAAACCTCTAAATCATAATTAATAAGAATATATTAAAAACATAATTAAAACCATAAAAACATAATTAAAAAGAAATAACATAATAATAATCTGAAAAGACATAATGAAAAGAAATAACATATTAGTAACATAATTAGATACATAATTAAATAAGAAAAATATTAGATAGAAAAGGAAGCTGCAGAAAGATAAGAAAATAGAAGCAGCTCTACACGATGCTAAGACAGCAACCCGCACAGAGGCCCACACCCATGTCCCCATCCCATGGGTCCCACCCGAGACTAATAAATCATAATTAATAATAGTAAATAAGAATGCAAAATATGAAATAGAAAAGAGAGCCCCAAAAAGAGAAGACAAGAGAAACAGTTCTATATGATGCTGATACAGCAGCCCGCACAGAAGCCCTCGCCCACAGGCCCCACCAGTGGGTCCCACCCGAGACTTATAAAGGATAATTAATTATAATAAATAGGAAAAAATAGAAATGACAGCGGACATTAAAGTGTGATAGAGAAATTTCCTTTTCGTTTCTCTGAGAAATTGTACAATATAATTCTGCTATATTTCTTCCTTTGAAGTATTATTAGTATTATAAAGTGGAAAAATATTAATGTTCAGTTGGAATTAGATTAAAAAGATATTGGAAAAGTAAAAAATATGCAGCCATTCGCTCAGTAATACTTGCGTTAAAGAATTTATAATTAGAGTATGCAAGTAATACTGACCCAGGTCTCACTACGTGGAAGTTGCTGCATGTGGAGACCCACGGACTGACGGTGACTCTACTCTAAAATCCGCGTTCCGCGAACCGATCCGCTATACCTTTCCGCTTCAATGCACCGGCTTCTTAACTAACAGGGTATGCGTAGCTTAGCTACAACACACCTCTTACAGATAGCTCCACCGTTTGCACCGTCTGCTTCAGACAGAACGGATTATTAAGCACATTCGAATTTGTGCTTTCCGAATTCGAACAAACAAAGCGCACTCCTTAGAAATACTAATCGCGTCGCGACACTCACGTGTGTGTTATAATTACGTAGATTCTACTATTAAGCCGAAATTCGCGAAGTACCCCCATCGAAATTTTGAAGAAATCAAACGAAGTCCACGGTAGGACCTTTAATCGCGCCCGAACACCCACGCGAATGTTAGAAAAACGATGACTCTACTCTACAATTCGCGTTTTCGATTCGAACAATCAAACGTAATATAATCGCGCCCGAGAACACCAACGCCTGTGCCCGCCGACACGCGCGCCAGTGTTCTTCCTATCCTTCCCGTATTCGCGTGTAAAAATCGATGATGAATCCAGCCAGGCGACGACGCATCCGTCCGCAGATGAACCTATCCCTCGATGA